TATAGCTTCGCGCTCCGCGCCGTCCCCCCCGGGGGAAAGAAGCGGAGGACGAGGAGGCACCCGAGCCGAGCCGCGAAGCGCGAACTGCGAACGGCTTCCCATTCGCCTGGTACTATGGGGGTCGGGCGACTGGGGGTCGGCGAGATTGAGCTTACCATTTCCTGACCCCTCCAAGGCCGACCCCCAGTAGCAGGCGAAGGAACTTCGCGCACTCGGTGGGCGCCCTTGGGAGCGCGTGTCGGGACGTCGCAGCGCGCCGAGGTTTCTGCGCGCCGCCCGGGCCCGCGCCAGGAGCAGCGAGCCGAGCGAGCCGAGCGGCGCCGGCCCGCGGCGCCGGCATGGGACGCGCACCGCCCAGCGGGGGGGGGGGGGGCACCGCGTCGGGGGCCCCGCGCCAGGCGTGGAGTGCTGCACGCTCCGTGCGCGGCTGCCCCGCGGTCCTCCTCCGCGGCCGCCCTGTAGATAGAGAGAGAGAGAGAGAGAAAGGGGGAGGGGGAGGGGGAGGAGGAGGAGGAGGAGGAGGAGGAGGAGGAGGAGGAGGAGGAGGAGGGCTGGATGAGGAGGAGGAGGACGAGGAGGAGAGAAAGAGAGAGGAACAAACAAAGGGGGAAGGAACTGTCGAGAAGGGAGGGGAGAGGGTCGGGGCCGCATGGTGCGCGCAGCACCGATCGGATCGCCCACCTGGCACCCTGGCTGCCTTTCCAAGTGCGTGGGCTCTGCCGCGCCCCCATGCTGCTGCCATCCGACGCCTGGCGCCTTCACGCCAAGGCTGGCAGAGAGTGTACACATAGGCCCCGATCGCTCACGTCTTCGACGAGGCTCCCCGCCGAATGCGCGTCCGGCAGGTTCGCGTCGCGACGACCCTCGCGCTGGCTCCTGACACCACGTGGAGCGCTCGACCTTGCTAGAGGCCTCCCAAGTGGGGTCCGAGTGAATGGGGTCGAAGGATCGCGCCTCATCGCATATGCACCGGCGATGCATGGCCGATGCATCGCCGATATATCGGCTGCGTCAGCGGTGCATCAGCGACTCGGGCATACAGAAAATAGGGCTCACATCGAGCTGCATCATCGATGCATCGGCGATCGCGCCGTCCAACCCCATCTACTCGGACCCCACCTGGGAGGCCAGACTTGCGCGATCGCGGCTTCCCGACGTAACAAGCCGCTCGATTCTGGCCGAGTCTGGGCCGCAGGCTTGCAGTCTCGAACGTCCGCGCTGGGGTCGCCGCCGCGTCGACACGACGCGAACCTGCCGTACCCAGGGAATCCGATCCCCCATGCCTCCGACGAGGCTCACCAGCGAATGCGTACCCGTCGGTCGGAAGGAGTGGGTAGAAGCATGAAGTAGGATGGCATTGGAAGTGGATTGGGCTTCCGCCCGCCCCATGGAGGGAAGAGGGAAAACCGCCCGACTCTTAAAGTGGGAAGGCGCCTGAAGTAGATTGGGATCTGGGAATCCAGAAATACCTACTTCCAACGACCGACGGGTACAAGTGAGAGGCAACGACAGGACTGCCCCAGAGGGGGAACATCGACCTGGAATCGGCGACACATCGCTGGTAGATCGGCGATCGACCCCCGATAACGACATCGTATGCTCCTGGGCTGGGTGGGCTATCAAGCCCATATCGCCGATCAATGGGCGATTGGGTGTCGATGCATCCCCCCCTGAGCCTATCCCCCCTGCCGTTGGCCCCTGGCCTCCGGGTCATAACTCGGCCCTCCTGCGGCCGCTCGGGACGATCCGGACCCAGGGCTGGAGCCGCTGGGAACCGACGAGAACGGATGAAAATGAAGGGGCGCCAGGACACACAAATAAATACACACAAATAAAAGGATTGCCCATATTTTCCTATATTTTCTGGGTTTCTGTCTTCCCCCCCACTTCCCATATTTTCCCATATTTTCCTGGGGGTCGACGATTAATTGTGTCTGTGTGTTTTTTTCCCTCCTGAGAAAACCCCAGACCTCGAACCCGAACACCTGAGCAGTGCCCTGAGCAACCCGAACTGGGGAAACCAAGAGGTACCAATACCGCTACTCCCCGGACCTCTCCCGGGGTGCGTTCTGACAAGAAGTTCGAGGCGAAATCCAGCGGTGGCGACGAGGGCCTCCCGGGAGGCCCAAAAAGAGGAAAACGAGTCGGCTACACGCAAGAGTGACCCTGGGTAAGAGTGACCTGTGGTGCTCGGCTTTTTGGGGGCCGCGGGGGGGCCACACACAAGAGCGCTAGAGGCTACCATTCGCATCGCGTTCGGCGATCGGGGGACCCAGTTGGGCCTGCAACGAAGGTCACCGGCGAAAGGTCACTGTTACGTCTAGACGAACGAGGGCAGGGTAGCGGTATGGGTACCCTTTCCTCCTCTGAGAGCCTCCAACCCGAACACCTCGATCCCGAGCCCGCTGCCCCTGGGCAGTGCCCGCCCCATGGGCCGCCCACCTCCGAGTGCGGGCCGAGGCCCGCCCCCCCCCTCGCCCGCGACCCCCTCGCCCTCGCACCCGCTGGGGGCTGCGCCGCGGCCCCTGCGGCAAGGAGGGGAGGGAGGAGGGCTGCGATGGAAGGGGAGAAGGAGGAGGAGGAGGAGGAGGAGGAGGACGAGGAGGAGGAGGAGGAGGAGGAGGAGACGAGGAGGAGGAGGAGGAGGAGGAGGAGGAGGAGGAGGACGAGGAGGAGGAGGAGGCGGAGGAGGAGGAGGAAGAGGAGGCGGAGGAAGCGGAGGAGGCGGCGGTGGAAGAGGAGGAGGAGGAGGAGGAGGAGGAGGAGCAGACCCCGCTCGCCTCCGCCAGGGCCGGGTCTATCTCGGGCCGTGCGCAAGCGCCGCTCCGCCCCGGCGCACGCCCGAGGCGCTGGCGGGCGGCGGGCGGTCAGGCGATGCCGAGCGACGGGCTCTGCGCCGCGGCCTGGGCCTGGTTCGAGCTGTTCTGGGCCTGAAGGTGCGGCTCGCGGCGGAGGGCGCAGGCAGAGGGCGGCGCGGGCGGGGGGGGGGAAAGCGAAACGAAGCGAGCGCCGGAGTCGTGCGTGCTCCTCTTGGGAGTTCGCCCGTGCCCACCAGGGCATGGCGTGGAGGCCGTAGCCTCGACAGAGAAGACCTTCTGTTCAAGCTTGTGGAACGTACAGAAGACCCTGCACGGCTTCACGCAGCTACACAATAGGGGGCCACGATGGGCCACCCGTTGCCGGGGTCCGAGCTTCCGCACTTGGCGCTAGAAAAAGCGCGTGCAGACGAGCTGCTTCTGCATCTGTCGCAGGCGCGGGCGCAGGCGCTCGCAGGCGACCCCTGGCACATGTCGGCGCACCCCTCACACGGATCGTACCCTTTCAATAGCCCCATACCACGGCACACCCCTCGCACGGATCGTGGCCCATCGGGAGGTCCGCCTACGACCCCAGACGAGGGGGGGGTCGAATGCATCTCCCCGCTCTGTCCGGCACACCCCGCACACGGATCCTGCCCCACAGGGAGCTCCACCTACGGTTCCGTTGGCAGGGTTCGCATGCGTCCCCCTCTCTATTTCGGCGCACCCTTCGCCAGGATCGTGACTGATAGGGAACTCCAACAACAGCTCCAACGGGGGCGCTCCTGTGCATCCCCTCGCCCAGTTCGGCACATCCCTCACACTACCCTGCATAAAGACATGATTCCCCAACGTTGAACGAAGCTCCGACGGGTTGGTTCGAGTGCTTTTTGCCGCGAACGCGAAAATAAGGAGGAGGGAGTGGATCGCCTTTTCCGTCTTAGAAGCGCCGAAGACGGTCCAAGAGGCCCCCAAGATCGCCCCAAGACAGCCCAAGAGGCCCCCAAGAGGAGCCAAGACGGTCCAAGAGGGCCCCAATATAGCCCTGGAGGCCCCCCAAGACGACCCCGAGAGGCCCCCAAGATGGCCTCAAGAGGGTGAACCCGAACGGACCCTTCTAGTCTTCCACCCCAAGATGACCCCAAGAGCCCCCGAGATGCCCCCGAGGCGCCCCCAAGGGCCCCCCAGAGGCCCCCAAGAGGTCCCCAAGAGGCCCCCAAGAGGACCCCGAGAGGCCCCCAAAAGGCCTCAAAGAGGCCCCAAAGGCCCCCAAGAAACCCCAAGAACCAAGAGGCCCCAAGAGGCGCTCACTCGCGTGTTGCCAGGCCAGAGGTGCACGGCCTGACTTGGTATTGCTCGGAAGCGAAAGCGATGAACGAAGAACCTTCCACCCGTCGCCGTCACCAGTCGTCGGTCGTCGGCCGTCGGCAGCCGTTCGCCGTCAGTCGTCGTCGTCGTCGTCGTCGTCGTTGTCGTCGTCGTCGTCGTCGTCGTCGTCGTCGTCGTCGTCATCGTCGTCGTCGGTTCGTCGTCATTAACTCCTTCGTCGGTCGTCGTCGTAATTATCCCGCTCGTCGACCGTTGGTCGTCCGTTGGTCCTCGTCCATTTCAACAACAACAATAGCATCAGGAGCGCCCCAGATCGGCGGCACTGGCCGGAGGCCACTACAATAAGGAGGAGGGAGTGGGGGGGAGGGAACGAGAAAGAGGGGGGAAATAGATGGAGACAGAGAGCGAAAGAGGGGAAGAGAGAGAGAGAGAGAGAGAGAGAGACAGCGGGATATACCGTAGCACACCGCAGATGCGGATCTGAGTGAGGGGGCGGTGGTGGCGTCGAAAGTCTGCGAAGACTCTGGAAAAGCCCGCCGCACGCGCCAAAGTGTCACGAATTATAGAACGAGCCCGCCGCAGGCGTCGATTTTTCCTTCAAACCAATGTGGACCAGTCGCGGGTGGGTCGCGGGTGGGTCACGGGGTGGGTCGCGTGTGGGTCGCGGATGGGTCGCGGGGTGGGTCGCGTGTGGGTCGCGGATGGGTCGCGGGATGGGTCGCGGGGTGGGTCGCGGGGTGGGTCGCGGGGTGGGTCGCGGGGTGGGTCGCGGGGTGGGTCGCGGGTGGGCCGCGGGGGGGACGACGACAACAAACAACAACAACAACAACAACAACAACAACAACAACAACAACAACAACAACAATCATTTAAGACTGGGGACACTCCGTTCTCACCAGTGCCAGGGTTTTCATAGGAGGCGGGCAATACCCCCACTTTGTGGGGGGGCCGGTTCAAGCTCTACCAAATTTCCAAACGACTCTTCGCCACCACCCACACCCAGCTTCCCGCCCTATGACGTTCGGACACTTCACTTCGTGGCATGCGGACGACCGTGGCTACTATTCAGGGCCCCGCGGCCGACGACGACGGCGTGCGCGCGCGAAGAAAAAACGAATGTGTCCCGCATGGTATTATTTGACAGGGATGATGGCCCTGGCAGGTGCGCAACCGTTGTCGCAGAAGTTCGAAAAAGTTGCTCGCAAAAGCCCGTTTGACAGAAATGTTTAAAAAGTGTTGGGTTTCCTACGAATCCGCAAGAGCGCGCGGGATGAGATTTTGACATTTTTTTGTTGAAAAACCATTGGTTTTTTGATGTTTTTATGTTAAAATCGCTCCGAACACTAAGCTTTTGGAAGGATTTCGTCTTGCGCGCGCGAATGTCCACTTTACCTTATTTTTTGCAAGGGATTCTTGAAATTTGATTATATTAGAACAAGAAATGTCATTTTATAGTGTTTTTTGCAAGGGAAAGCGGGGGGGAACAAAACAACCGGATCTTGATCACATCGAATTACCTGAGGCTTCCTCACGAAAATGATGAAAATGTAGCTGCGGCCTAGGCGGCGCAGGGGGGCCGTGCACCAGGGGGCCCAACAATAATTATTCTTTAGAATTAATAATGTTCAACAACAACAACAACAACAACAACAACAACAACAACAACAACAACAACAACAACAACAACAACAAACAACAACAACAACAACAAACAACAACAACAACAACCACAACAACAACAATTTTAAGACTGTTCACCCTTTATATGCTCGAGTGTCCAATAACGCGTATTTCCCAAACCCTCGATACCCGCCCTCTTCGTTTCGATCGAACCCCTTTTGGGGGGTATACCTTTCTTCCCTGCAGGCCGGGCCCCGGCAAGCGGCGGGGCGGCCGCGGACCGTCGGCCTGGCCAGCGGCAGCGCTGATCGGCGGGGCGGCCGCGGACCGTCGACCCGACCCCAAGAGGGACGGACAGGGGACCGACCACGACGACGACGACGACGACGACGACGACGACGACGTCGAAGACGACGGCGACGACGACGACGACGGCGACGACGAGCGAAAGCGAGAGCGAGAGAGAACGACAGCAGGGCCACGAAGGGCACGAAGTAGGCCACGAAGGGCGACAGCGGGAACACGAAGGGAATGCGTATGGGGCCACGAAGGGCGCGAACGAGCGGGGGCCACGAAGGGCAGATAATGCGCGGCCACAGAAGGCAACTATGGGGCCGCTGAGGATAGCAACTGGGCCACGTAGGACAGTGAGGGGGGCACAAATGGCGACAGCGGGGCCACGAAGGGCATACACATGGGGCCACAACGGGCGCGACTCCTGGGTCCCGGGTGCCTGGGTGTCGGGAGCGCGGCGCTTGGGCAAATTGCAAGCAAGTCTCCACCGAGAGCGCGACTCCAGAGCGCCAGGAGAGCGATTCCTGAATAAATTGTAAGTCCCAAGCGGGAGCGCGATTCCTGACTTATCCCGGAAAAGCAACCTAACAGCGATGTGTAGGAGCATATCTGGAAGCATCCCCCTTAAGATTCAGATGAGAATCCAGTTGTAGAGTTCTGCTGTTCTCGAAGTCGTAGTCGCATTCGCGATGACAGTCGCAGTGGCCTGCATTAGCCTCAGCCTCAGCCTCAGCCTGCCTCAGCATCAGCCTCAGCCTCAGCTTCAGCCTGCCTCAGCCTCAGCCTCAGCCTGCTCCTGCATCAGCCTCAGTCTGCCTGCAGCCTCGGCCTCAGCCTCAGCCTGCCTCAGCCTGAGCCTGCCTCAGCCTCAGCCTCAGCCTCAGCCTGCCTCAGCATCAGCCAGCCTCAGCCTCAGCCTCAGCCTCAGCCTCAGCCTCAGCCTCAGCCTCAGCCTGCCTCAGCCTCAGCCTGCATCAGCCTCAGCCTCAGCCTCAGCCTGCCTCAGCATCAGCCTGCCTCAGCCTCAGCCTCAGCCTCAGCCTCCTCAGCCTCAGCCTCAGCCTGCTTCAGCCTCAGCATCAGTCTGCCTCAGCCTCGGCCTCAGCCTCAGCCTCAGCCTCAGCCTCAGCCTCAGCCTGCCTCAGCCTCAGCCTGCAGCCTCAGCCTCATCAGCCTCAGCCTCAGCCTGCAGCCTCAGCCTGCCTCAGCCTCAGCCTCCTCAGCCTCAGCCTCAGCCTGCTTCAGCCTCAGCCTCAGTCTGCCTTCAGCCTCGGCCTCAGCCTCAGCCTGCCTCAGCCTCAGCCTCAGCCTCAGCCTCAGCCTCAGCCTGCCTCAGCATCAGCCTGCCTCAGCCTCAGCCTCAGCCTGCCTCAGCCTCAGCCTCAGCCTGCTTCAGCCTCAGCCTCAGTCTGCCTTCAGCCTCGGCCTCAGCCTCAGCCTGCCTCAGCCTCAGCCTGCCTCAGCCTCAGCCTCAGCCTCAGCCTGCCTCAGCATCAGCCTGCCTCAGCCTCAGCCTCAGCCTGCCTCAGCCTCAGCCTCAGCCTGCTTCAGCCTCAGCCTCAGTCTGCCTTCAGCCTCGGCCTCAGCCTCAGCCTGCCTCAGCCTCAGCCTGCATCAGCCTCAGCCTCAGCCTCAGCCTGCCTCAGCATCAGCCTGCCTCAGCCTCAGCCTCAGCCTGCCTCAGCCTCAGCCTCAGCCTCAGCCTCAGTCTCGGCCTCAGCCTCAGCCTGCCTCAGCCTCAGCCTGCATCAGCCTCAGCCTCAGCCTCAGCCTGCCTCAGCCTCAGCCTGCATCAGCCTCAGCCTGCCTCAGCCTCAGCCTCAGCCTGCATCAGCCTCAGCCTCAGTCTGCCTTCAGCCTCGTCCTCAGCCTCAGCCTGCCTCAGCCTGCCTCAGCCTCAGCATCAGCCTGCCTCAACATTCAAAATGTGGCCAGGGAATGAAATTCTGGGAACTCGAAGAACACGAAGTGGCCTACAGCTTGCTCCGGGCATTCAAAATCATGCCCAGGCATAAAGTTCTGGGAAGTCCAAGAGCACGAAGTGGCCTACAGTTGGCTCCGGGCATCCAGAATGTGGCCCGGGAATTGAGTTCTGGGAACTCGAAGACCACGAAGTGGCCTACAGTTGGCTCCGGGCATCCAAAATGTAGCCCGGGAATGGAGTTCTGGGAACTCGAAGACCACGAAATGGCCTACATCTAGCTCCGGGCATCCAAAATATACGCCGGGAATGGAGTTCTGGGAACTCGAAGACCACGAAGTGGCCTACAATTGGCTCCGGGCATCCAAAATGTACGCCGGGAATTGAGTTCTAGCAGCGCCAAGAGCGACTTTGCGAGGATGTCCCAAGCGATTTGGGCTTCGGCGGCAGCCGCCCCGGGTCCCGCCCCGACCCCCCTGAGGAGTCATGATGCTCTCTTTTGACACCACTAGAAACCTATCAGTCTTCGCTGTTAGGTAATAAAATGCGAGGAAGTCTCGGGCGGGAGCAGGGGTCCTCGCTAAATTGTAAGGAAGTCTCAAGCGGGAGCCGTTGTTGTTGTAACCCGGGGGCCAGGGGCCCAGTTTGAGCATCAAGACTTTCCCTGTCAAAAAACAAGATGCGAGCGTCGAGGGGCACACTTTGATTGAGAGCAAACAGTATGCACTGGTGGGGGGATCAACAATAACTATTCTTCATAAATGAAAATTCAACAACAACAACAACAACAACAACAACATCAACAACAACAACAACATCATCATAAACAACAACAGCCGCAACAACAACAATAACAACAACAACACCACCACCAACAACAACAACAATCAGTTTAATACTGTTCGCTCTTATCTGCTCGCGTGCCATCCCGTATGCATATCCCAAACCTTGGATACCCGCCCTCTTCGTCTTCGATCGTACCCCTCTTTTGGGGTATATTCATTCCCTGCCATGTGTGGTTGGTGAAGCCCTTGAAAGCAAAGGTAACAGATAACGGGGGAGACCGAAGGGCACATGTATAGGGGGCCGCAGAGGACAGCGACGGAGCCGCTGAAGGAAAAAACGGGGCCACGAAGGCCAGAGAGGGGGCCACGAAGGGCGACAGCGGAGCCACGAAGGGCATGTATATGGGGCCACGACGGGGGCGCGAACGAGCGGGGGCTACGAAGGGCATACATATATGGGGCCAGAAAGGGCGACAGCGGGGCCACTGAGCGCAGAAAGTGGGCCACGAAGGGCAGCGATGGGGCCACGAATGGCGACAGCGGGGCGACGAAACTCATGCGTAAGGGACCACGAAGGATGCGAGCGAGCGGGGGCCACGAAGGGCAATTAATCCGGGGCCACAGAGGGCAGCGACGGGGCCTCTGAGGGCAGAAACGGGGCCACGAAGGGCAGAGAGGGGGCCACGAAGGGCGACAGCGGGGCCACGAAAGGCATGCATATAGGGCCACGACGGGCGCGAACGATCGGGGGGCACGAAAGGCATTCGTATTCTGGGGCCACAAAGGGCGACAGCGGAGCCACTGAGGGCAGCAAGGCGACAGCAGGGCTACGAAGGGCATGCGTATGGGGCCACGACGGGCGACTGCGAGCGGGGGCCACGAAGGGCGCATAATGCAGGGCCACAACGGGCAGCGACAGGGCCACTGAGGGCAGCAACGGGGCCACGAAGGGCAGCGAACGAAGGCGACCGCGGAACCAGTACGGGCAGCGAGGGGCATCGAAGGCGGGCGAAGGGCAGCGAGCGGCGACTGCAGTCCCCAACGGGCTGGACGGGCGGGCAGGCCCAGACGGGCGGGTCGAGCGGGCGGGTCGTTGAAGCGGAAATTCTGCTTTCGAGGAGCGGCATCTGAATACATTATGAGGAAGTATCAGGCGGGAGCCGCAATTTGGTGGTAAGTCGCAAGGAAGTCCCAAGCGAGAGCGCGACTTTTCAATACATTGTAAGGAAATATCAAGCGGGAACCGCGATCCGGTGGTAAATTGCAAGGAAATCCAAACCGAGAGCGCGATTCTTCAATACATTGTGAAAAATATCAGGCGGGAACCGTTGTTGTTGTAAACCGGGGGCCAACGACACAGTTTGACCCTCAAGACTTTCCATGATAAAAAACAGGGTGCGGGCCCCGGGAAGGGCTATCAAATAAAAGAAACAATGTGCACCGGACGGGGGGGATCAACAATACTTATTGTTCAGAAATGGGAGTTCAACAACAACAACAACAACAACAACGCAACAAGCATAATCCTCGCCACGGGTTCTCACTTCAGCCAAGCACCCATTGACAATGAAAGACCGTTCGGCCCCCTCACTCTGATATGTATATACACATGCATATATGTGTATATATACATAGAGCGAGAGAGAGAGAGAAGCAGAGAGAGAGAGAGAGAAGAAGAGAGAGAGAGAGAGACAGATAAACAAATAAACACAACACACACAGAAGCACGTGCAGTTCTACATACGTGTGTATATAATATCTGAACACAGCGAAGAAGGCAGGACAGGGTCAGCGGAAAGGAGACAGATAGAAGGCGGCAGAAGCAAGACCGCGGGAAGGACCAACAGCACGAGCAACAACAGTGTCATCACACAGCTGCTGATTGGGCTCGGCCAGATGAGGTAGGCGCGCAGAAACAGAGCGCGCAGCCTTGAACTCCAAGCCTTTCGCGATCCACCTGACCAAGTCCTCGGCATCCTCTGACGACGGGGAGCACGAGGCGTCGAAGGCAGGCGTCGGGCCGCAGTAGCATGCACTGATGATGGTGGTAGTAGTGGTTGTGGGAGTAGTAAAAGGAAGAGGCGTTGCAACTCGTGGGGGAACACCGGATCAGACTCGCAACTCGTGGCGATAAGTAGACGCCCGTAGCAGCAGTAGCGGGAGAGGCCTTCAGTGGCATGACACAAGAAGACGACGTATAAGTAGTAGTAGCATAAAAAGTAGTAGGTAGTAATAGTAGAAGTACTAGTAGTAGTAGTAGTAGTAGTAGTAGTAGTACTAGTAGTAGCAGAAGTAGTAGTAGTAGTCGTAGTAGTAGTAGTAGTAGTAGTAGCAGTAGTAGTAGTAGTAGTAGTAGTAGAAGAAGTAGTAGTAGTAGTAGTAAGTAGTAGTAGTGCAGCAGGAAAAACATTGCCATTAGACGGTACTAATAATAGTAGTAGTACTAGAAATCGTCGTCGTCGTCGTCGTCGTCGTCGTCGTCGTCATCGTAGTAGTAGTAGTAGTAGTAGTAGTAGTAGTAGTCGTAGTAGTAGTAGTAGTAGTAGTAGTAGTAGTAATAGTAATAGCAGTAGTAGTAGTAGTAGTAGTAGTAGTAGTAGTAGTAGTCGTAGTAATAAAACTCGTCGTCGCCGGCGCCGTCGTAGTCGTAGTCGTAGTAGTAGAAAATAATAATAGGAGCAACATTAATAGTAGTAGTAGTACTACTAGTACTACTATTACTACTAGTAGTCGTAGTTGTCGTAGTCGTAGAAAGTGTGAAGGTATGCGAAGCCGCAACGGTAGTGGTATCACAAGAAGCGGCAGTATTAGTAGCAGCCTTCGTCGTCGCAGTAGTAGGAGTGATGGTAGTAGTAGTAGTACTACTACTACTACTAGTAGGTAGTAAAGGTAGAAGTAGTAATAGTAGTAGTAGTAGTAGTAGTAGTAGTAGTAGTAGTAGTAGTAATGGTCGTCGCAGTGAGTAGTCGTACTAGTAAGGAGAAATGATTATAAGTAGTAGTAGTAGTAGTAGTAGTAATGATAGTAGTAGTAGTAGTAGTAGTAGTAGTAGTCGTAGTAGTAGTGGTAGTAGTAGTAGTAATAGTAGTAGTGCTAGTGGTGGTGGTAAGGGTCGTAGTACTAGTAATCGTAGCCGTCGTAATAGTGGGAGTAGTAGTAGTAGTAGTAGTAGTAGTAGTAGTAGTAGTAGTAGTAGTAGTAGTTGTAATGGTAAACCGTTGCGGTAGAAGTAGTCGCCGTAGTAGCAGTAGTGTCCGTAGAACTAACACTGGTAGCAATAGTGATAGCAGTAGTCGTAGTAGTAGTGGTGGTGGTAGTAGTCGTAGTAGTAGCAGACAGCTGCTTGCTAGTAGCTCAACCTAGTAATCGCAGTAGTACAAGTGGTAGCAGTAGTAATGGTAGTAGCAGCAGTAGTAGTTGTTGTTGTCGTATTAGTAGTAATAGTAGGAGGAGGAGTAGTATTGGCGGAAATAGCGGTAGAAATCGCACTAGCAGTAGTAGTGGTAGTAGTAGTAGTAGTAGTAGTAGTAGTAGTAGTCGTAGTAGTAGTAGTGGTGGTAGTAGTAGTAGTCGTGGTATTCTTCGTAGTCGTAGCAATAATAATCGCAATAGTACTAGTAGTTGTAGGATTCGTAGTCGTGCTAGAACTTAAGGCAGTAGTAGGAGCAGTAGTACTAGTAGTAGCCGTACTACGATGACTAGTATTAATAACAAGGATAGTACTGATAATCTGAATAAAACGAATAATGGTAACAAGCTTCAGCAGTGGTAGTCGTAGTAGTCGTTGTTGTTGTAATAGTAGTAGCGGCAGCAACACAAGTAGTTAAAATACTAATAGTAGTAGTAGTAGTAGTAGTAATCGTAGTCATGGTACTAATAAACATACAGGGGGTCGGAACATTAGTAGCAACTCCCGTAGTCGTGGACGTAGTCGTGCTGACAGTAAGTGCTGTTGGTGGTTGCAGTCGCGAAATTGACCGTAATGATGGTGGTCGTAGTAGTCGTAGTAGTAGTAGTAGTAGTAGTAGTAGTAGTAGTAGTAGTCGTAGTAGTAGTAGCAGTAGTTTCAGTAGTAGCAGTAGTAGCAGTAGTAGTAGTAGTAGTAGTAGTAGTAGTAGTAGTGGTAGTAGTAGTAGTAGTATTGGTAGCAGTAGTCGTAGTAGTAGTAATAGTAGTAGTAGTAGTAGTAGTAGTAGTACGACTACTAATAGAAGTAGTAAAATCAAAAATATTAGTGGTAGTCGTACAAGTAGTAGTGGTAGTAGTAGAGGCTATAGTAATAGTAGTAGGGGTAGTAGTAGTATTTCACGTAGTCGTACTAGTAGTAGTAGTAGTAGTAGTAGTAGTAGTAGTAGCAGCAGTAATAACACTAGTAGGAGTAGTAGTAGTAGTAGTAGTAGTAGTAGAAGTAGTAGTAGTAGTAGTAATAGTAGTAGTAGTAGTAGTAGTCGTAGCAGTAATAGTGGTAGTAAGAGTAGTAGTAGTAAATGGTATTAGTAGTAGTAGTAGTAGTAGTAGTAGTCGTCATCGTAGTAGGGGTAGAGGTAGTAGCACAGTAGTAGTTCTACTACTAGTAGTAGTAGTAGTAGTAGTAGTAGTAGTAGTATTGGTAGTAGTAGGAGTAGTAGTAGTAGTGGTAGTAGTAGTAGTAATAGAAATAATACTGGTACGAGGAGCAGGAGGAGTGGCAGGAGTAGTAGGTGGACTAGTAGTAGTAGTAGTAGCAGTAGTAGTAGTAGTAGTAGTAGTAGTAGTAGTAGTAGTAGTGATAGTAATAGTCGTAGTTTTTGTGTCGTAGTAGTAGTCGTAAGAGTAGTAGTAGTAGTAGTAGTAGTAGTAGTAGTAGTAGTAGTAGTAGTAGCAGTAGTAGTCGTTGTTGTAGTAGTAGTTAGTAGTCGTAGTAGTAGAAGCAGTCGTTGTCGTAGCAGTACTAGTAGTAGTAGTAGTGGTAGTAGTAGTAGTAGTAGTAGTAGTAGTAGTAGTAGAGTAGTAGTAGTAGTAGTAGTAGTAGTAGTAGTAGTAGTAGTAGTAGTGGTAGTGGTGGTGGTGGTGGTCGTAGTCGTCGTAGTAGTAGTAGTAGTAGTAGTAGTAGTAGTAGTAGTAGTAGTAGTAGTAGTAGTAGTAGCAGTAGTAGTAGTAGTCGTAGTAGTAGTAGTAGTAGTAGTAGTAGTAGTGGAAGTAGTAGTACTAATACAAATAGTGGTAGTAGTAACAATAATAATAAGAATAGTCGCACTAGTAGCAGTATTGGTAGTGCCGTATTCACACTAGTCGAAGCAAACAATACAATGCGACTGCTGATCCACATGTCATGTGTCAGGGCGCTCACCGCGCAAACGGCACCACGACGTGAATGGGAAGACCGTCGGGCAATCCACGAACGCCGAACGTGACGCCGTCAACTGAAAACGCGAAACCAGAGGAAAGCGCGAGAGAAAGAGATCATGGTAAACACCGGGCGACACTGAGCACATAAAACATAAGTAGTCGAGGGTCGATCGGACACGGCAAAAAAAAACACCAGGGCCGGACGAACAGAGAGAGAGAGAGAGAGCACGGAGCGTGAGCATGCGCAAACAATGGTACTAGTAGTACAAAGCGACGAAGCACGAATAGAAAACGAGGGCTGAAGTAAATTATGACAGCCCGCTACAACATGTATACAACGGATGGGACAATGGACAAAAGGACCACCAAGCGCGGGGCAAGCTTAAAGGTTACCTAAACCATCTTTAATGATGGGGCTGCCATCAGCGAAATACCGGAAACTGTGCGACCGCGAATGAAATATAATTTAGTAGTTGGCCGACCGTAAGCCACACGATCAAAATCGGAAGTACTGCCGAAAACTATCGGCCACCTGCTGACACCAGACGGGGTCAATGTGCCTGTGTTTTTGGCCAGCGGCCGTGAAGACGTATTCCACCCCACTTATAGTTTTCGGCGATACCTCGGGATAGGGTGCCAAATCTTTCGACGGAGATGTGAGAAGCCACTCCCGCTCTGATCGAACGTATTGGCTCCACTGTTGAAGAATACCTCCTCGGGCGCGGCACCCGAAGTCGTGACATTTTCGTTGCGTCACGAATGTGGGTTCGACCTGGCTCCTCGACCCGTTGAAAGGCCGACCTCGGATTTTGGCTCTACTGGCCTACCCGCTGTGGGGGCGAGCCTGCCCATCAGCTATCCCACGACAGTGGGGGTAAGGAACCCTCAACACATGCAAAACAGCCAACCGCAACAGCCATCTGCTGTATATAAGGCAACGTCGAGTCGCGGCCGATGGGATATCTCAACTGGCCCCATGGCGGACCGTGCATTTGCGCACTCGGCCGCATGGGTTCTGATTCGTTGTGCCTCTGATGTGGGGTACCTCCCCCAAACGACAAGAAGCCATCCGTGCACATCGACACCGCACCCCCAATGTCTTCGGCCACGCAACGCAGCCAGGACATAGACTAAACCACGTATCATAACCTCGCACGCTTAGATGATAGCTTGAACCGTCGCCGAGGGGCAGACAAATGCTGCCCCCCCCCCCCAAGCAAGGCGCGAGCGCGCGTTGGTTCTAGTTTGTTGCGCCCCCTGGGTGGACCATCAGACGTCGATCTGCCACTGGATTTCCTCCACGTGCTTTCCTGCACCGAATCCACATCGCGCAGTGGGTCCCATGGTGAACCTAAAACCGATACTGGGTCCATTTTCGGGCCGCTGTTAGACATCCAATGATACACAACTGTCGCTGTCACGCACGGCCCATAAACCGTTCCGACACTTTTCCCGTTTGCCTGCCGCCCACGGCGCCGACCACACCGGAGAGACGTGTGATAGAGCTGCTTGCGTTCTCCAAACCAGTCGGCACAATATTGGGGATCTCGGCTGAAGAACAACATTGGGGCACGAATCGCATGTGGCCAATCTTCGAGCCAGGAAACTTGCCACGACAACTACGAAACGTAGCGCGCGAATACGACTGCAATACTACAGTATATATGGACCACGGCGCAAGAGGGGAGAAACAACATGGCGCATAACACGGGGGCGCATGATGAGGAAAAGGCACGAAGCAAAGAACTGGACACTGGCATTCGGTAGAATGCCCCTCATCATGTTCCCTTCCTGGTCCTGTTGCTGTTGCTCCTCATTATCCTCCTCATTATCCTCCCCTTCATCCTCCTAATCCTCCTCCTTTTCCTTTTTCTCCCTGTTCCTGTGATCCGATTCGTCCTCATTGTTGTCCTCCTCCTCTCTCGTCCTCCTCCTCCTCCTCATGTTCATCTGCCGGTCCGTGCGTCTTTCTACGCCCCCCTCCTCTCCCCCGCCCTCCTGACCTTCGTCGGGCCCCCGGACCTCCTGATCCTCCATGTGCGGATCCTCCTCCATCCTCTTGGCCCTCGCCTCCCCCCATCACAAGTCGCCCGCTGGGGGCCTAAGCCCGATGAGGCCTACAATGCGGGGGCGGGGGATGAGAAGAAATGGTATTGCGACAACCATGCAACGCTACGGCTAAAGGTGCCACGCTACAAGCGCAGCTTCCCCAAGCACTTGCAAGGTCGAACGCCACCACGAACGCCACCTGGGCCACAGCAGGATCTGTGTGCAAACGGGCGGAAAAGAGGGAGGGAAGCAAAGAGGGAATGAGCAGGAGGAGGGAAGAGGGGGCAGGAGGAGACAGGAAGAAGACGGACAAAAGAGAAGTCTGCTATTGAGAAGCAGGCGGTGCATGCGAGTGGAAGAGCATGAGAGCAAAACGCGAGAAGGGTGGGAGGATGCGAAGGAATCATCATCGTCGTCACTCACCTACACTTTTTCCCGCGCGCCTGTGTCTGCTCCTGTTAATCCTCCCTGTCCTCCTCCTGATGTTGCTGATGCTCGCCCCCCTTGCACCTCCCCTTCGCGCCCATGATCCTAGTTTCCTTGATCCTCCCGCCGCGCCCACTCCTCCCACCTCTGGTCCTCTGTCGCCTGCGTCGCCTTCTCCTGACGCTCTCCTGCTCCAGATCCTGCTCTTCCGCCTCTCCCCGGGCGGTGGAGTCCAGCGCGATCTGTCCCTCGCCCCGGCGCTGGGACGGAACTGGAAAGCACCCCCAGGCCAGAGAGCGATCGCGCGTCTTCGCCTCCGGCCGGCGCGGCTTACCCACATCGGGGGCGCTCGCTCGTGGACTCGTCGCCAGAGCAGCCTCTGCTGCGACGGCATCACCCACGGCCCCACCCCTGCATGTGCTCGCCCGCCTAAGCGACGACTGACCCCCTCTCCGGCAAGTCTTCTGGCATGCGAGATGCACGGATGTGCCACCCGAGGGGTCCAGCGTCAGGGCGGTCTCGTCGGCGCGGTGGGAGAAGCTTCGCGGAGGCAGCTGCGCTGGCGGCTTTCCTCGAGCAGGAGGAGGCGGCCTTCTGGGCAGGACCCATGAAGAAAAATGCTCCTTGCCTCCTGGGGTGATACCCCCCATTCCCTCCGTACTCCTGGTCCCCCAGTTGCGTACTGCCTCGACATGAGGCGGCTAAGAGTACGGGCGGGGGTCCCTGCCAGAGAGGTCCCCCAAAGGAGCCTCGACCCAGGCCTTCCCCTCTTCTCCCCGCGCTTTCGCTTCTCGGGCGAAGGTGCGGTTTCCACTGCGCAGGCTGGGGTTCGGAGGAGAGCCAGGGTGGGCTGGGCAGCCACAGGCCGCCCCCTCCCTACCTCCCCCTCCCTCGCTCGCTGCACAGGCGAGACTGCCCTTCCCTTGGAAGGATGTCGCGGAGTCGGCGCAGTAACCCCGTCTGCCCTGCGACCCACTGCCAAAGGACCCGGGCCCGCGGGCCAAACATACATTCCGCTTCGTGAGGACTCCTACGCACCTACCTACCACCTCCGCCTCCGCCTCCTCCTCATGTTCATCATCATCATCATCATCATCATCATCATCATCATCATCATCATCATCATCATCATCATCATCATCAGAAGCATCAGAAGCATCATCACCAAATCATCGTCATCATCATCGTCATCGTCGTCACCATCATCACCACCATCATCAGAGAGAGCGTGATCCACCGCCGCTTTACTGAGGAAACTTTCCCCCTCTCTTCCTCCGTTCCTCCGGAACCCGGGGGGGCCCCCCCTCCGAAAATCTCCCCCCCTGCTCGACCCCCCCCCCTTCCCCCCCACCCCCTTCCCCCAGCAACCCCCCCACCCCTCCTCTCTGCCCCCCTTCTCCGGAAACCGGGGGGGGTCACCCCCCCCCTCGCCGCCAGTTCGACAAAAAAGACTCCCGGGTCCCCACCACCGTCCTCACCACCGCCCTCACCGTCCTCTGTCCCACTGTCCCTACTGTTCCCACCACTGTCCCCTCTGTCCCCACCAATGCCCCCACCACCGTCGCACTGTCCCCACTGTCCCCGCCACTGTCGCCACCACGGTCCCACTCTCCGCACTGTCCCCACTGTCCCCGCCACTGTCCCACTGTCCCCAGTCCCCGCCACTGTCCCACTGTCCGCACTACCCCCGCCCATGTCCCACTGAGCTGTCCCACTGTTCCCACCACTGCCCTTCTGTCCCCACTGTCCCCACCACTATCCCCACTGTACCACTGTCCCATTGTCCCACCACCGTCCTCACCACCGCCCTCACCACTGTCCCCACCACCACCGTCCCCACCACTGTCCCACTGTCCCTACCACTGTCCCAATGTCCCCTCACCACTGTCCACACCACCCCCATTCCCACCACTATCCATCTGTCCCCACCGTCCCCACCACTGTCCCACTGTCCCCACTGTTCCCACCACTGTCCCCACTTTCCCACCCAGTGCCTCCACCACTGTCGCACTGTCCTGGCCGTCCCCACCACTGTCCCCACCACGATCCCTCTCTCCCCACTGTCCCAACTGTCCCCACCACTGTCCCACTGTCCCCAGTCCCCACCACCATCGTCCCCACCACTGTTCCATTGTTCCCACCGTCCCCACCGCTGTCCCAGTGTGCTGCCCCACTGTCCACACTGTTCCCACCACTGTCCCACTTTCCCCACTGTCCCCACCACTGTCCCACTGCACCACAGTCCCACCACTGTCCTAACCACCGCCCTCACCACTGTCCCCACCAACACCGTCCCCACCACTGTCCGACTGCTGTCCCCACCACCACAATCCCCACCACTGTCCAACTGTCACCATTGTCCCCGCCACTGTCCCACTGTCCCCGGCTGTCCCCGCCAATACCCCCACAACTGTCGCACTGCCCCCACTGTTCCCACCAGTCCCCACCATGGTCCCACTCTTCCCACTGTCCCCACTCCCCACCACCATCCCCACTGCCGTCCCAACCACTGTCCCCACCAGTCCCCCATCTGGAGTGTTCGAACCTGTAGTGTCCCCCCCCTTTTCATGATGGACCGGGGGGGACCCCCAGTGACCCCCACCCAGTTTTCGAAAGGGGGGGGAGGGACGGGTTGGAAACCACCAGTGACCCCCCCAGTTTTCTGCCAGCAACGATGGAACACGCTTTTTCCATCATCATCATCATCATCATCATCATCATCATCATCATCATCATCATCATCATCACCATCACCATCATCATCATCATCATCATCATCATCATCATCAGAAGCATTATCCTCATCATCATTATCACCACCACCACCACCATCATCATCATCATCAGCAGCATCATCAGCAGTATCATCATCATCACCACCACCACCATCATCATCATCATTATCATCATCATCATCATCATCATTATCACCACCACCACCACCATCATCATCATCATCATCATCATCATCATCATCATCATCATCATCATCATCATCATCATCATCGTCATCGTCATCGTCATCGTCATCGTCATCAATTTCATCATGTTCATCACCAGCAGCTACAACACCCGCGTCCTCGGGCTCCATCTGCCAGCGCTTGGCCACGCGATCTGGTGTCACCTGCCGGGACCGCTCGCGGAACTGCCAGATCCGGGCACCGGGAGAAAAAAAGGCGCTCTGGACTTCTCGCAGCCTCTGGCCACTCTCGACGCTCTCGCCGCTCTCAGCGCTCTCGCAGCCTCCGTCGGACCTCTCGACGCTCTCGGAGCGGATCGGACAAGGATCGGGCCGCCAGCAAACCGGCCCGAATAGAATCCAAGCCGGATCGCCGCGCCCGGCTCCTGCTGGCCCCGGCCGATGCCGGTGGATCGAGCCAAAGCGAATCGAACCCGAACTGCGGGCCGAGCCGGCGAATCGAACCGCATCGGATCGGATGCCCTGACAGGCCAGACAGAACACCCTCAAGGGCAAGCCCACACCCTCTGGCCCCTGCCCTCCACCTCCCCCTCCCAAGGGAGCATCGCCGAATCCGAACAGGAAGAGGGCGGTGGCATCCCTCCTTATCCTCGCCGCTTCCATGGATCGGGTAAGGGGGGGAGGGATAGCAAGGGGGGGCAGCGAATCCGCTGCGCGCAGCAGGCTTTGCTGGCCCCTTGAGGCGATAGAAGCGGCCTTGAATCCAGGCACGCGCAGGCCGCGGGGCCGAAACCAGCTGCACGCAGCAAGCTTCGTGACCCCCCTTTCCAAATTTGGAGCCCGGGCGCACGGGATCTCGTTGACGAGACACGGGTATAGCACGAAGGAGACGGGTCGTGGTGGACCCGTGTCATGCAAGTGGTTCGCGTGTGGCCCCGCGGGCCCTCCACAGGCTCCAGGGCCGACCAGAGCGGCTCGGGGTGAAGAAATGGCCCGGGGGAAATTCGGTGGCAGCTCATAGGAGTCTCCCATACCATCTTGTCGGCTCCTGCGAATCGACGCCTGTCGACGCCAAATCGACGCTAACCGATTCTAGCTGACGCTCAGCCGGCGCTATCGCATCGACTCCCAGTCGCTAGTCGACGCTACACCCTGCGAAATGCTTAGGAAATCATGGGTTAAGAAATTCATAGTCTCAGAACTCGAATAAAAAACCCAACATGTCTATTAAAATCTGAAGATTCACATTGAAAAGTTAAGAATAATCGAGACTCTGGCCGAAAACTTAAGTTTTCTTAAGCATCGCCTAAGGTGTAGTCGACGCTCAAGGCGGAATTCACAGGGCATACCAGGCCCCCATGATTTGCGACCGAAGGAAAGAACTGGGATGCAGGGCCAGCTTGCGTCAAGATCCCTCCCCCTTCAATGGCGGGCGCGGGCCCGAGGCGCCTCCCACTCGCCGGAGACCAGCCAGTCGGCGATCTGCGTCGCCGCGTCGCCGTCCTCCCCTTCCCACTGTGTCGGCGCTGGAGCTCGGGCTTCAGGGAGCGGGGGGAGGAGGAGAAGAGGGGATGATTGGTTGAATCGGGGAAGATGTGCTTGAACGGGCGAGTCAGACATCGTGGCAACGCGCACAAGGGGGTGGCACGAGGGAAAGGGGGTCTTCTACGAAGTCGGGGGGGGGGGTCAGGCAGTTACGGCGGGTTCATGTCACGACTTGAGCGCTGGTTTCTGACACAGCCCGGATCGACCTCTACCCGCCGGCATTGGGCCACAAGCGGTTATCAACCTCGGACGCCGCACTGGGGTTGTCGACGCGTCAACGGGGCGCGGCCCTGCCGCACAATAAAAACACCCGTGAACAAGTTGTTGCATAAGATCTCTAAGGACACATTGTTCGGTCGACTTTGGAACCCGCAGGATTCGGCGGCGGGCGAGGGGGGCAAGTGAGAAGGGGCGGGCCTTCTCAGAAGGCTCGGAAGCCCCCCGGCCTTCTGAGAAGTTTTCTAAGCCTTCCCCGAAGACACGAAAACTTCTCAGAAGGCGCGAGACCTTCTGAGAAGTCCCGCCAACTTCTTAGAAGGCCTTTTCCTCTCCATTTCCACCCCTCGCTCGCCGCCGAAAGATGCCCCCAGAAATCCAACGAGTGCGCGGGGACGTCGGGGAATACAATATGACCGTGGGGCACACGCTGAGCCAATTCCTTATGTATGTGCCGGCTGCACACCTTACGCATAACCGTGTAAAAAGAAGCTGCCTGCACGCAATCTGGTACGGAAAACTGGTGTCATGACGACCCCGGCGTCGGTTTCTGACACTGAATGGATCGCGCAACCTGGCATGATCGGCTGCTCTGGGATCAACGACTGTTCCATGCTGGCCAGTTCTGGGACACTGGCGGAGTTCGACCTTGAACGCCCGCGGCGGGGTCGCTGCCGCGTCGCACGACACGAACCTGCCAAAGGGAGCTCCCTGCATGCAGTAGCGGGCGAAGAACGGACGTGGTAAAGTGTTCCGCCATCGGCGACGCCTGTCCCAGAGCGGCTACAAACTTATAGCCCCACGGGGGCACGCCAGGGTATAAACTTTCCAGCCGCCCTGGGGAAGGCGTCCCCGAGCGGCGGAACAAATCACCTTCTACCCTTCTTCATCCGCTCACTTGCGAGGCGGGGATTTGTCCATATCCACCGCCTTGGGAAACGATGCCCTGGGATCCGAGAGGTCCGTGGATGTGGATATTTGCTGGCCCCAGAGGAAAGAATACATACAATGTCCCGGCCAGTCCACAAGAAACCTTCGACAAGAAACCCAACCCTGAGACGCCATGGCGTCCATTGATTTTTGGTGTGGGAACGTCACGCTTTCCATGGCAAAACCATCGAAACCCAAGACACCCAGGGCACCCTGGAGGCGAGCAGGGTGTCTCTTGGCATGGATCTCCACTGTACGTTCAGGCCCCAGGGAAAAGAATATGCATCCATGTCCACCGCCTCCCAGGGTCCACGAAGCTCGGCTTCCCAGGCGGTCACCACCGAGGAGAGGTCGCCACCTCCTCGAGACAGACCACCCACCTTCCCGCCTGCAGGTCGTACTTCTGCACGACCTCGTCGAACCTCTGTTTCGCCCGCACCAGCGCGGTGTCGCACTCGTCTTCCGAGGACTCGGCCGCGGCCTCGTCGGCGGCCGCCTGCAGGAAGGCCGGCTCCAGGGGGAGGAGGAGGAGGAGGAGAGGAGGAGGAGGAGGAGGAGGAGGAGGAGGAGGAGGAGGAAAACGAGGAGGAGGAAGACGAGGAGGAGGAGGACGAGGAGGAGGAGGAGGAGGAGGAGGAGGAGGAGGAGGAAGGACGAGGAGGAAGACGAGGAGGAGGAGGACGAGGAGGAGAGGAGGAGGAGGAGGAGGACGGAGGAGGAGGAGGAGGAGGACGAGGAGGAGGAGGAGAGGAATAGGAGGAGGAGAGGAGGAGAGAAGGGAAGGAGGAGGAGGAGGAGGAGGGAGGGAGGGGAAGGAGGGGGAGGAGGAGGAGGAGGAGGAGGAGGAGGAGGAGGGAGGAGGAGGAGGAGAAGGAGGAGGAGGAGGAGAGGGGGAAGGAGAGGAGGAGGAGGGGGAGGAGGAGGAGAAGGAGGAGGAGGAGAAGAGAGGAGGAGGGGGAGGAGGAGGCGGAGGAGGAGGAGGAGGCGGAGGAGGAGGAGGAGGAGAAGGAGGAGGAGGAGGAGCAGGAGGAGAGATGAGATGAGACGGCGCCCAGGGACGTCCATGGAGGAAGGGACCAACCCGATACAAAATTGGGGGGTGCACCATCGAAGATGATATTTGCGACAGGTGCACGCCGCCCCACTAGGGCCTCCGACGGGCCCCTTTCAAGAGCTCGGATTCGCTCGTGGGGCGGGCCACTCGAGCTCCATACGGGACAACGCTGTCCAACGCAGAACTGGCACTGCTGGCGACTGTGGTCCTGAACGCGACGTCTGGAGCGGACGTGACCGACACACCGACGCGAGGGGCGGGGATAGCCCGCTCGATCAACCCACGTATTCGCAGGTTGGGGGCCGGCCCCCACTAAAAACGAGACATAATAATTTATCCTGTGCGTGCCGGGGGGCACAGGCTCTTGCCAGTTTGATGGTTTTCTCCTGACTCCGCCCCCCGCAGGGACCCACGCCTAGCCTCCTCGCTCTCGGCACTGCACTGCACGGGACGCAGGGGAGCGAGGCGAGAGCCCGACACGGCAACCAGCTGATGCCCGAGAGGGCTTTCCGTGAGGGGCTTCAGGAACGACGGGGCCCCGAGACAACCATTCACCTGCAGATTGCGGCACGAGGGCGCAACCTTGAAACAAAAAACACATTGCCAACTCAGTTCACTCCAACCCCAAGAGTGCCACCCCTCCCCCGGAGAGTTAATTTTGCGTATCAGCACCGCAGGCCGACGCCAGCGCTGGGAGCTGCCCTCAAGGAAACAAGGGAGGACAGCACCAGCTAGAGCAACAAAATCGGCAATCCGACTCCTCGCGAGATCGAGCGAAGCCAAAAACTCAGGTGCAGGGGAGGGGTGGAGGCTGGAGGCGAGTTTGGCATGATGATCAGCAATCCTGCTGGCCTCCGCCCAGTGGCGCCCCTCGGCATCGAGACCCTCGATCTGCTCTGCGAACGATGAGCTTTCACGTGACGGACTGTGACGAACTGGTGGCCCTCGAGGCCACGACCGAATTTTAGGATACCTGCAGTCTTGTTGGACGCACGCAACTGATTGGACACAGGCTGCTGGAAACGGCGGATCGCCGCCCAATCAAGCAGAGAGCAACGCTCCCGGAGATGCTAGGAGTCTGAGGGAGGTATCCAGCCACAGGCCCGCGCATGATCGCGACGGGCACATCTGATGCAGGGGGAAAAAACCGCAATCGACCGGGATGCACGCTCTAGCTCAACTAAGCATGGTCGCGTGCACGATCCATCAGGAGAGACATCATGTCGCGGCCCCTGGACGAGCGATGCAACGCCTTCTACCTCCACGTCTAGTGCCTCCCCTTGGGGGCCTTCGAGGACCACCTGGTCTGTACAGGAAGGGGCCGACACATCCTTTTCATCGTACGCAAACACTCCTTGCACAAAAACTTGATCATCTGACTCTAGGCCCGCATATTTTTCCCCATATCCTAAGATGGGGTTCTTGTTATTACTTGGACGCCTCCTACTCCTTCTTCTTCTCCTCCTCCCCTCTTCTCGTCTCCTCCTACTTAGACTCACTCATACTCAGATTCACTCATACACAGACTTACTCATACACAGACTTACTCATACACAGACTCACTCATACTCAGACCTGATCACATTAACTTACTCATACTCAGACCTACTCATACCCAGACCTACTCATACTCAGACTTACTCATACTCAGACTTCCTCCTTCTCCTCCTCCTTTTACTCAGAGTTCCTCATACACAGACTTACTCATACTCAGAATTACTCATACTCAGACCTTCTCATTGTCTGACTTATTCGATAAACAGCAGATTGCGAGGATGTCTCAGGCGGGGCGCTGGTTTCAGCACCCCTAAGGGGAGCCGCCGAGGGGTGTTGCACGGTCCCGTTCGCGGCCGTTTTGTGGGGATGTCTCAGGCGGTTTGCCTGTTTGTCTTGCCAACATCCTTCGCTTTCGGAGCAGATTTGGAGGATGTCTCGAGCGAGGCGCTCATTTTCACCCCCCAGGTGGGCCAGATTTTGAGGATGTCTCGATCGGTTTGCTTGTTTTGGTGGCCAGGCTCGTGGCCCTAAGGGGAGCCGCCGAGGGGTGTTGCACGGTCCCGTTCGCGGCCGTTTTGTGGGGATGTCTCAGGCGGTTTGCCTGTTTGTCTTGCCAACATCCTTCGCTTTCGGAGCAGATTTGGAGGATGTCTCGAGCGAGGCGCTCATTTTCACCCCCCAGGTGGGCCAGATTTTGAGGATGTCTCGATCGGTTTGCTTGTTTTGGTGGCCAGGCTCGTGGCCCTAAGGGGAGCCGCCGAGGGGTGTTGCACGGTCCCGTTCGCGGCCGTTTTGTGGGGATGTCTCAGGCGGTTTGCCTGTTTGTCTTGCCAACATCCTTCGCTTTCGGAGCAGATTTGGAGGATGTCTCGAGCGAGGCGCTCATTTTCACCCCCCAGGTGGGCCAGATTTTGAGGATGTCTCGATCGGTTTGCTTGTTTTGGTGGCCAGGCTCGTGGCCCCAAGGGGAGCCGCCAGGGGTGGTTGCACGGGCTCGTTCGCGGCCATTTTGTGGGGATGTCTCAGGCGGTTTGCTTGTTTCTGTGCCCAACATCCTTCGCTTTCGGAGCAGATTTGGAGGATGTCTCGAGCGAGGCGCTCATTTTCACCCCCCAGGTGGGCCAGACTTTGAGGATGTCTCGATCGGTTTGCTTGTTTTGGTGGCCAGGCTCGTGGCCCTAAGGGGAGCCGCCAGGGGTGGTTGCACGGGCTCGTTCGCGGCCATTTTGTGGGGATGTCTCAGGCGGTTTGCTTGTTTCTGTGCCCAACATCCTTGCTTTCGGAGCAGATTTGGAGGATGTCTCGAGCGAGGCGCTAATTTTCACCCCCCAGGTGGGCCAGACTCCAGGAGGCCCCAGGAGACCACATGAGGTACCAGGAGGCATCAGGAGGCCACAGAAAGACTCAAGAGGCCACAGGATGTCCCAAGAGGCTCCAGGAGGCCCCAGGAAGCTCCAGAAGGCCTCAGGAAACCACAGGAGGCCCCAGGAGGCAACAGGAAGCGCCAGGAGGCCTCGGAAGGCAACAGGAGGCCCCGAGAGGCCCCAGGAGCAGGAGGCCTCAGAAGGCAACAGGAGTGGCTCCAATCCCATGTGTTTTACGTATGCTCCTATCGATTGGGCCTCACCTGGAGCACGATTCTTTGATGTTCTACGTATGTTTCTATAGATGGTCCTTCTCCTGTGTACACAATCCTAAATGTTTTACTCATGTTCCTATATATTGGGCCTCTCCTGGGGCACGAGTCCTTGGTGTTTTACGCGTGTTCCTATAGATTGCCCTTCTCCTGTGGCTCTAATCCGCAATGTTTTATGTACGTCTGTTGCTATAGATTGCGCCTCTCCTGGGGCACGAAACCTTCCTAGGAGGTCCCAGGAGGTCCCAAGAGGCTCCTGGAGACCCCAGGAAGCCCCAGTAGGTTTCAGGAGGCCCCAGGAGGCCCCAGGCTCATGCACAGAGACGCGCTCGTACTACTGAGGCTCATTCACACTCCAATTCATTCGCAGTTAGATTGATGTCCAGACCGTCACAACTGAAGCCTGTTAATATTCGAAAGCTCTTGCGCCTAGACATTCACGGCGGACAGGTCCATGCGAGTAGATGCACATATGAAGAGCTCCACGCAGTGAATAATTAGAAAAAGAACAAAAAAACGCACTGACCTTGGACTCGGCATGAGCGGAAACTACATCAGGCAAAGTGCACTCGTACCGGCAATGTTTGCGAGCCTGTCTCTGGCCGTCGCAAAGCAGCATGGGCACGGGCCTTGGCCCAGACTCCGCGGCAAGAGCAACTCCCGCTCAAGAATTTCGCGAGGCCAGAAAACCGACGCGACCGAGCCCCGAGGACGGAACGAAGTCGAGCGAGGCCCTGGATCCTTGTGGAACTTCCAGCTGCGTGGCTAAAGAAAACTCGCGTTGCCTCTGAACTCCTGCTAACATGGGGACAGAAAGCATGCGAGGGGGCGTGCGACTGCCATCTATGGCGAAACCCATGTGGTTCATCCATCTAGTCGCAGAGGGCACGCTCCACCCAGCACGGCGCACAGCGAGGACAGCGCGAGAAAGCGGCCCGCGACTGGAAGGCCAGCCCTTGGCCTCACAGGGCTTGGCGTCCCGCCAAATCCGAAGCAGACGCGCACGAGTGACCAGCGGGTGGTCGTATACCTCAGCCCGCCAAAGCATCGTCCACCACAGGATCGCAGGCGCGATGGCTGACGCTCCCGCCCCATCGCCAAGCAGCACTGTTTTGCTGGTGAGGCTCACACCACCATGCACAGGGAGCTGCCCTCGCGCCACGTCCCGACGGCACTGGAGCCACTCCGCGTCGCTGAGGCCGACGACCTCGCTGCCGTAGGTGGCCTCGGCCATGGCACCAGCGCGGATGACTGCACCGATGGACTTGGCCTTGTGGCCAGTGACGACCTTGCCGAAACGCTTGAGCTTCCGCATGCGCTTCACCATGTCATGTGCTGACGACGCGTTGCCCGGTTGAGGAGCACGTCCTTCTCCTTGCGGCGGCTGCCTTCAGTGACGTCGACCCCGACGTAGACAGAGCTGCGGCGGGCAACTGAAGCTGGGAGACCGAGCATGCTCACGATATCCTGCGCGAGACACGAGGCTGGTTCTCACAAGCACGACCTTGTCGTTGACAACCGCATCAAGCTCATCCACAGTACGCCTGAAGTCAACCATGGCCGCCACCATCATGGAGGAGGTGGTGCTAGCAGCAGTGGATGCCACACGAATGGAATTGTCATCTATGTAGCTGACGAGCTGCATGTACGACTGTCTGACAAAAAATATCGTACTCACGAGCAGACCAAATTTTGACCGCAACGTCAAAGAAAACGTCACCAGCAGGGAGACCACAAGCTGCACAAAGCGGCTCGTCCGCATGGTGACCTTTGAGACGCAGGACACGTGGTGCACGCCACAGATTGTGCACTAACTGAAGGAAGGACGTCGGCGTCTGGAAATTGATCAATTTGTCCCGCAGCCTGTCCAAAGGAATCCGTTCGTAGTGCTTGCTGAGGAGGAGGAGGAGAAGGAGGAGAAGGAGGAGGAGGGGATCGTTCGAACCGATCCCCATCCCCACTGGCATGGCCTTGGCCCCGCTGGCCGACCCCCTACCCATCGGGTCTCGCGGGGCCTATCCCTACCCAAAGGAGGTGGGGCTGAGGCACCCTGGCCCAGTGGGCATGGGGACCGGTCATAGACGATGCTGAAAGGTGGCGGCGCGCCCACAGGGGCAGGTCGAACCCAGGGGAGGAGAGGATCAATCAACACCGAGTCGGGAAATCTCATCGAACCAGCGTGTGCGTCGGATCGGTCTGCATCGGCACGGAGTTGGAATCGGATCGGATCGGCCGCGCCAGGATGCACAACAGCGCCAAGCAGGCATCGGGCCGCGTAGAGTCATCAAAATCAGAATCGAATCGAACGGCCCAGAATCGAAATCGACTCGGATCCATCTGTCGAACCCATACCAGGGACCAACATGCATATCCCAGGCCGTGCTTTGATGATCGGCGGTCAGAGCAACAAAGATGGGACGCAGCCGCGCGGCACAAGTTCAAGCGGGAGGCGCGGACCATGGTCCGAAAGATGCTTCCGCTTGCTGATGCTACGCAGCCGCCGCTGCATGAGCGGCTTTGTTTGGAGTGTGTAGGCAGGGGGAGAGAGGGGGAGGGGGAGGAGGGGAACCGTTAGGAGAGCACTGGCTGGGGGGGGGAACATCGATCTGGAATCGGCCATACCGCGCAGATAGAGTGGCGATAGGCCCCCGATAGCTAATCCGTACGCTCCTGGGGGAGGTGGGACTATCGGGCCGATATTGGCGATGAATGTGCGATTGGATGTCGACGCATCCCCCCCGGAGCCTGTACACCCCTAACGCTGCCCCTGATATCGTCATCGTCGTCGTCGCCGACACTCTAGACCTCCGACCTCAAACCACATGATAAGATCTGTGCGGCCATTTGCCGCGTCCCGAGCCCGCCTAGCAAATAAGCACGGGCCGGGACGGGAAGGGCAAACTGACCGAGGGGATGGTCCATAGGCTGGCGGCTCAAACACATCGAGTCGTCGGAGGTCTGGGGTTGGGGAGAAAAGAAGGGGAAGCTGCGTCAGCCGGGCATGAATAATGGAATGCTGCTATCGTGAATTCAACTCGTGAAGACTCTTCGTAAAGACAATTGGAAAAGACGCAGGTCGCTGCCTGCGTGTAGATCCGCCATCGTGCCTCGAGGCACGAGTTGGAATGTCCTCATCAAATCACTCAGAGCCCTTTGTAAAGAATATCATACTCCAGGTGGCCCACTGCACAGAGCTCTGGGCGCTCCCAGAATTCGTCGCAGACCTCGCGAGGCTTCCCGCGCGACCGTTCTGGATACCAGAAGGCCCCAAGGCTGCCGAAAGGGCCCCAGGAAGTCCCCCAGACGGTCCAAGAGCGCTTCGAAACGAACGCCCCGGGATGGCCCAAGACGGCACAAGGGGACCCCACGACGCCTCGAGAGGGCTCCAAGAGGCCCGAAGATGTACGCATTGGTCACTTCCCTTAGGCTGTTCCAAACAGTTGGCGGTCTCGCCGTGTCGGGCCTCCAAGACGGCCCAGGAGGACAAAAGATCGCCACAAGACGGCCCGAAAGGCCCACAAGAGGGCCCCAAGACGACTCAAGCGAGCCCCAAGACGGCCTGAGAGACACCCACGGCGGTCCAAGAGGGCCCCAAGAGGGGGAACACGAACTGACATTCCCAGCCCTCTGCCCCAAGATGACCCCCGAGACCATCAGCAGGCCCCCAAGAGGCCCCCGAGAATGCGCAGGAGGCCACCAAGAGACCAAACAGACGCCGCAAAACGCCTCCAAGAGACACCCGAGAGGTCCCAAGACATCTAGAACTGCTTCCAAGCGGCTTCCGAGAGGCCTCACAACAGACATCCAAGAAGCCCCTGACCTACAACCCAGGCCCGGTCGCGGGATGTGCCGGAAGGTCACTGGATAATTCGACGGCGCTCCTAAGGAATGCGTCAGAAGGCGATGCTGCCAAATCGCCTAGTGAAATCTCTGGCAAGTCTTCGAAACCGTGATAAGTGAAGCCTTTCCTGATACCGACACCCTCGCTGTCGAACGTAGCGTTCAGGAGCACTCGAGGCATCTGGCACGTCCATGCGTGGGAGCCTCCAAAGTGGGAGACGCGGCAATCCATTAAAGCCGTGTCGCCAGTGCTGAGCAATACTTCCTGCGAGCCTGGCGCACTTCCAAATTCGGCGATCTCGCGCGAAAGGTCTTCCTTCCTCCGAACATCCTTGTAGTGCTCCCTGTCATATTCCAGTGTGCTGGGCGGGACACCATCCAAATCGTCAAAGGCCGTAAGGTTGCCATCCTCATCGTAACTGCACAACGACCGCTGTCTGAACTCTGCCTCTGCCAGCTTTTCAGCCTCAAGGCGAATGGCGCGCTTCACCAATCGCCGATGAGAGGCTGGGAAAACACGTGTGGGACCCATCTCAGAAGTCACAGGCTGTAGCGCCAACCACGCTGAAACCAATGGTGCCACCTTGGTCACCTCCGAATTGCCCGGATACGTTGCAGAATTCGGTAGCTGAGATTGGTTTTCGAGGAGAACGTCTGGTGTAGCAGGGGATATATCACTGTGCGGATCCTGTGCAGCTGCACCGCTGAATGTAATGATAACAGATAATTCGACCAAACGAGCCTTCAGTGGAACTCCGACTGCGTGTACAGCTCCTGCTATCCCTTTCAGCGCCTGCCCAACATTACCAGTTATCGGAAGTGGGAACATGTGACGCCGCCAAGGGGCGCGAATAGGGTTGAGCTGCCCATAGCCAAATCTGCCCTTTTGGTAGCACAGGCTCCACAATGACCGCGAAAGCGTCGCAAGTGCTTCCGCACGCACTGCCGCACATACCGTGAGAGGCACGGTACGCCTGCAAGTGGCAAGACCGCTCGCTGCAAAGCCGGACGCAAGCGACGCCATCCTGCGATCAGGGCTAAACACTCCTCGAGTGAGCGCGGCACCGCGACCCAAACTGGAAGCACACTGAACCGAAGTGGATGACGAGGATAATGGGGAGGAGAGGAGCAACCACCCACAGATCCCCAGAGGCCACAGGCTCCCGCTGCAGCCTTCCTGTTTCGGGGCCGGGCGGAGGGCGAGGCCATAGGGCGAGGCCATAGGGCGAGGCCTCGCCCTGGCGGGCTCGGGCGAGGGAGGGGCCTCGGGACTGCTCGGGCGAGGCCTCAGGCGTCCATTGCGGCGCGCACAGGGAGGATGGCGCGATGGCGGCGGCCTTGTGAGAGGCCCCCCACCCTCTTAGCTGGACGCCCTCCTCGCGCCAACCCAGCTGTGCGCGCAGGGTGACGGGCAGCGAGGCCCGCCCGACGCCTCACATGCGTCCTTTTTTCCCAGGGGGTCGCACTTGCGGTCCGCACGCTGCGAGGGGCAATCGCCAGAGGGGAAAAACCACCAGCGGGTTGGAGTGCGTCGGGCCCTTGCTCAGCTGTCAGCATCGCTTCCCGCGAAGCAGCAGCTGCGCCCTCCCGGAGCATCCAGGCTCAGCGCCAGCGCGCTCATTTCTTTCGGCCGAGGCCCTGCGTGTTCTGCGTTCCACGCAACATATAAGATAATGCCAAAATCAGAGCTCTGGGTAAAAGGCGTGCAACAATACCAGGAAGCTCGAACCCACACAAACACACAAAACACACACATGCACACACACGCACTCACACACCTTTGGCGTTGCGGCGACGCGCGCAGCAGCGCAGCGTGGAAAGTCGAGCGAAGATATGCGTGCGACCGGCCCAGGTCACGCGGCGACACGCACACACACACACACTGTCTTTGGGCGTAAGGGCCTCGCGCGCAGCGTCGTGGCGTAGAAAGTCGGAAGGCAGAGAACGCGCGCGCGGCTCGCCCATTCAGCAGTCAGGGGCAGGAATAACTTGGCAGAGCGCCAAGTGGCGCGCGGATCCACACACGGACACGCACAGACACACACACAAAGACGCAGACACACACACACACAAGCAAATACACAGACACACAAACCCCCACACGCACAGAGAGATACACCTATATATATATATATATATATATATGCATATATATATACAAACATATACATACATACATACATATACATACAGATACATACATAGACATACATATACACATACACACATGCATACATACACGCACACACGCGCACACTTTCCAGCGTCAGCAGGGCGGCGACGCGTCAGCACGTCTAAAAGTGCCCGCGGCCGCACGCCGCGGCGGCCAGCAAGGCGGTGGCCGAGGCCTTCGGGGGGCGGTGGCGGGCCAGCGGCGCGGCAGGCACGGTGGGCAAGAGGCGGGCGGCGCGGGCCGCAGGGGCAATCCAACCACACACGCGCACACACGGCTGGACTCGCATTGAGAGCAGAAAGAGGCCACGCGCCGGATACACACGAGGCGGGGTCGGCGTGGACGTCCACACGATGGCCGAGCGCTGGGAAGACATGCGGCCACGTGTGCTTCCGCCTCTTTCCGAGGACGGCCGTACCACGCGTGTTCAGGTGCCTGGGGGCATGTCCAGTCCAAACCAGCCACGTGACCCCGTTCAGCTACACAGTCTGTGTCTCCTCGCGCAACCAGACCTCGGACGGCCCGACCTTGCCTCGAGCCGCCAGCCCCTGGAGCGCTCGACCCGTTCCCTGGGACCGGCTCCTCATCCCGCGTCGTCACTCTTGAAGTCATGGGGCGTCTCCTCACGCCCGCCGAACACGAAAAAGAACAACAAAAAGCAACGCGATTGATTTTGGTGTCCCCGAGGATGTCTGGCCACGCTGGGGAATGTTCGCCGCTACCCCCAGGTTCTTTTCTGAGCCCATCTGGCGTCTGTGCCCGTCCAACCGCCAAGAAGACTCAAGACCGAGCCCATTCGACCGCCGAACGGGATAGATCCCCGTGGGCATCTGAAAATTAACCTTGTCTGGCTGTCCATTCGGGTTGCCGGATGGGTTCACAAGCCAAATGGGCTCTGAAGGGAACACCGGCTACTGCGGCTCTGGACGCTTCTGGATCCAAACTTCCGGCGGATTGATTTGTTCAAACCGCAGTCCCGAGAACTCTGGACTTCATCCCTTGGTGACAGTTTTCCATCCTAGATAAATTACCTTCGACGCTCCCCGCGGGACCCAACAGCCGAAGTGAAGGCAAAAGTGCCTGGATTGATCCCACTGGTCCGCTCGAAGTCTGGGGCAGTCTGGACGTCATCGCCGAGCACGCTGTGGAGAAAGGGGGAGACAGTCTGGGCAGCGGAGAGATGCTGGTGAGGACAACCGAAAGCCGCCACTTGAGCCACCTCCGACAAATTTCCCTCTGGCCAAGTTCTGCCTTCCGCCCTCGAGGATGGAGAAGGGATGTGTCCAAACAGTGCTTGCACCTGCTTGTTCTCACGCGTGTTCTCCGAGAGACTGCGGAGTTGTCGGTCTGGCGACTCCGTGCTCGCCGTCGCCACCCCGTCGCAGCCTCGTCTCCGCCCGTCGTCTGGCAGGGCTGTTGGTCTGGCGGCTCCGTGCTCGCCGTCGCCGCCCCGTCGCCGCCTCGTCGCCGCCCGTCGTCTGTGGGGGGGTGTCGGTCTGGCGGCGCCGTGTTCGCCCCGTCCCCGCCTCGTCGCCGCCCGTCGTCCAGACGGGGGGTTGTCGATCTGGCGGCTCCGTGCTCGCCGTCGCCGCCCCGTCGCCGTTGTCGCCGCCCCGTCGCCGCCGCGCATAGATTGCACCGCATACATAGGCTGTAACACACAGAGAGCACCGCATATGTTTTGCACCACGTTGGTTGCACCACATCTGTTGCACATAATATGTTGCACAGCATGCATGTTTTTTTTGATACGTGGTACGATATTGCACCACGGTTGTGTCCCATGGTTCTAGACCCCCTACATGATACGATTTTGCACCATGGCTCTGCAATGTTCATGTGATTGGACTCATATGGTACTGCCCCATGGCTTTGCTCCACTGAAATGTACATTGGATTCTGCTCCATGGTCCATCCTCAAAGTGACTTCGGACAATCCCAACCACCACGGTATCGACACCCCTCGCCATTCTCTGGAGCACATGCAATGCGCGCCTTTTCGTTTATCCCAAAGCATCCGTTTTCAAGAGCCACTCGCACCAAAAAGCGTAAACTAGGTGCACACGCGCGCGTCGTCGCGCGCGCATTGGGCATCGTGAGGATGCCGAAGGCAAGTATACCGAACACGTATAAACACATTCTGGTTTGCAACATCGGGTTTCAAAAGAAACTGCGCGCTCTTGCTAATTCTTAAGAAACCACACGTTGTTGTAACATTGCTCGCAACATTTCAACAAGTGTGGGTGTTTGTGTGTGCGTGCGTGCGTGCATGCGCGCGTGCGTGTGAGTTTGTGGTTGTGATTGTGTGTATGTGTAGGTGTGTGTGTGTGTGTTTGCGTGTGTGCGTGCGTGCGTGTGTGCGTGTGAGTGCGCGTGCGTGTGAGAGAGAGAGCATGTGTTCCTTGCCACTACCCTCGCCGTGAGGGAGCGTCCGACGAAGTATTGGCGACAACGAGGAATCGTGAGGCTGCGCGCACGGTCTGCGTTTAGATTCAACCGAGGTAACACCGCAGGAGCGACCTCAAAGTCATTCATCGTCTTCTCCACCTCCTCCCCCGTCTCCTCCTCCTCCTCCTCCTCGTCCTCCTCCATCTCCCCCCCACTTCTCCCTCCTCACTTCAACCTCCTCCTCCTCCTCCTCCTCCTCCTCCTCCTCACCCCCTCTCCTTCTCCGCCCTCCTCGCTCACCCTCTTCCTCCTGCTGCTGCTCCTCCCCCGCCCTCCTCATGCCTCCCCCTCCTCCTGAACTCCTTCGCCTCTTCCGCCTCCTCATGCTCATCCTCACCTTCCCGTCGTGCTCTGCCTCCTCCACCACCCTCGCCGTCAGGGTGACTGACAGGACATGGGCGGCCACGACTCCGCGTGAAGCTGCGCGCCAGGTGTGCTGGCAACCCAGGCGGGAGGCGCGAAGAGACGCCGAGAGAACGGCATGCCCCTCCTCCACGTCCTCCTCCTCCGCATCCTTCCCAGTCTTCATCTGTCATCCGTCCTCTTCCCCTTCCTCCCCGTCCTCCTTCTCCTCCTCCGCCTCCTCCTCCTCGTTATCCTCCCCCCCCCCAAACTCCTCCTCCTCCCCCTCCTCCTCTTCCTCCTCCTTCTCCTCCTTCCCCCTCCTCCTCCCCTCCTCCTCTCCCTCCTCCTCCTCTTTCTCCTTCTCCTCCGCCTCCTCATTCTTCTCCTCCTCCTCCTCCTCCTCTCTCCTCCTCCCCTTCTCATCCTTCTCCTCCTCCCCTCCTCCTCCTCCTATCCTCCTCTTCCTCCTCCTCTTCCTCCTCCTCCTCCTCCTCCTCCTCCACATCATCGTGCTCCCCCTAGTACCTCCTCCGTCCCCGCCGCATCCTCGTCACTCCTCCCCGCCCTCCCTCTACCTCCTCCGCCTCCCCTCCGCCAACCTCCACTCCCCGAACCCGCACAATCCCATCCAGCAGTCTTAAAGTTACCGAACCCCTTCAACACCACCTAGAACCTACGCTGTCCCCCTCCTTGTTCTTGGCCGCTTCCTCTGGCCCCCGCGCCCTCTGCGCCTTGCCACCCCCGTGCGCTCCGCATGCCCCTGCCCTCGCCGCCATGGTCGTGGTCATTGTCTTAGTCGCCGTCACTGGCACCCGCTCACAGCCTGTCCCTGGGCCCCTCCCGGGGGCCACCCCCAACACCGCGTGAGATGCGATTGTCTGCAGACTCCAACAAGCTTGATTGCATGGAGGGGGAGGGGGGGGGAGGCGTGGCGAAGCCCGGGGGGGGGAAAAAATGACTTCACGGCAGTCAAGAGTCACCTGCGCGCCTTGTCGGGCCGCCAGCGCTGGTCGAGAAGGCGGAGGCAGAGGGGGGGAGGGGGGGGGGAATGCCATGCAAGCAGACGGGCCTAAGTCTGCAGCAAACCGCCCTCCTGATGAGCCGCGCCTGGCCGTGGGGACGACGGGGCAAGGGGTGGCCTGGAGGCCAGACGACTGGGAGACGAACGCCAAGCGAGGCGGAGCATGCCGCCGCCGCCGCCGTGACGTGGCCGCCGCCGCCGCCGTGGCCGCTGCCGCTACCGCCGCCGTGGCCGTGCGATTGGCCGCCGCCGCCGCCGTGCCCGTGTTAATGGGGGGCGATATAGTCAGAAGCTTTGGCTTAGCGTGCCGCGACGGCGGCCACGGCAGCACGGTACAGTCAACCTTTCTAATTAGGATGCGCGGTGAGGATGCAAGGGCCTTTGATGGCCACGTTAATGCGTTTCGAGCGAGGTTGGCCAGCGAACGTCGCTACGGGTGAGTCGAAGGGGCATGGGTAAACTGCTCCGCTCCGTATGGCGAGAGGTGGGAAAAGCGCGGGACGTCGACGTTCGGGGATTGGGGCGTGGCTAGCGCGTCAGGCCTGAGTGTGGCAGGCCAAAACCGGCGGCACGACACGCTAAGCCAAAGTTCCCGACCGTACAGCCCAGGGGGGCGCACTGCACGCATTCACGCTCGGGAGCCTCGCCGATGATATGGATCACTGGCGCCCCTGGGCACACATTGTATTGCTCTCCCCCTGGGCGATTCGCCCCGATCGTCGCCTCCGTGACCCGTCGTGAGGCGGCGATGGGGGCGATCGGGAATTGCACGCACTCGCCGAAGGCATGGATCCCAGACCCCCGACGGCATGCTTTTTCACACGACCCCTAGAGGTCTGCACCCCTTCCCTGGGATCGGTTTCTCCTCCCGAATCGTTTTCTGACGGCCCCGCAGCCTGGCAGAGGCCCCCCCCGAGGCCGAAAATAGCGAAACGCCTCCCGCCGTGACTTTCTGTCGGAGCGCGAGGAGGGGCTGGGATCACTGGCGCCCCTGGATGCCTGTGCTGCTCCCCCCCTTCTGGTCGGGGCTTTGACATAAGGAACCCTAAATCAGTGAAACTTCGACCTCCCATCGACAACAGAAGGAACACCCGAGGCAGGCTGTGAAACACGTGAGGAACACGAATGCCCCTCCCCCACGAAGAGGATTCCTTCTTCAGCGGCCCGACTCGACTGTAGGCTGTCCGCCCCGATCGCCGCCCCCCCAGTGACCCGACGTGGCCCCTCGCCGCCGGCCGCTCGCCGCCGGCCGCTCGCCGCCGGCCGCTGGCCTTGGCCTCGGCCTCCACCTTGGCCCTCAGGGCGGCCACTCTGCCCTCCAGGTCCTCTGCGCGCCGACCCAGGGGGGGCTCTCGGAGGGGAAGGGGGGGCAGGCGTGTGCTGTGCGGAGCTTTTGAGGGGGCTTCTCCTCCTCCTCCTCCTCCTCCTCCTCCTCCTCCTCCTCCTCCTCTTTCTTCTCCTCCTTGTCCTCCTCCTTCTCCTTCGCCTTCTCCTTCGCCTTCTCCGTCTCATGATCCTTCTCTTTCTCTCCTTCTCCTTCTTCTCCAATTTCTGCTCCTGCTCCTCCTCCTCCTGCTCCTCCTCCTCCTGCTCCTCCTCCTCCTCCTCCTCCTCCTCCTCTTCCGCCTCCTCCTCTTCAAACTCCCTCCCCATTCCCTCCCCTCCTCCCTGCCCATCTGCTAGCCCTCCCTCCCGTTCTCTGAGGGGAGGAGGGGGAGGACACAGTTTCGCGGGCGCAAGAAGTTTTAGTCTGTTCTGGAATGTCATGGGAGGATCTAGGGATTATGGAAGTCTTGGACGGGGAGGTGGAGGGGTAGGAATGGCCGGTAATAGCCGGACATCAAATTATGCTGCTGTGCATGTTCCGGGCAGGCGTACGCGGGCGCGCCTGGCTATGCATCGACGACGTTCTGCAGCAAGACGCACCGGTTTTCGAATTGGATGGGCTTCTCTCCCTGGCGTTTGTCTTGACGTGTGGAGCGGCGCAAGGACGCCGCTACTCTGTGCCAGCGCTCAACGCCCTCCTAAGGGACATGCGAGACTAGGTGGAGACGGCGTGCACTGGTGGGGCGCGGGCAACACCGCCGCTGTGGGCACGGGCAGCCATGGCTGCGGCCCACGCGCGGTACCCAGCAGAGCAACTTGCTGAGGCCCCAGTTGGGCCCTAAGTGATCCTGTCGAAGGCGTAGCATGTGTCTCATCAAGTGGCACTTGCAGGGAGCTGCACGGGAAGTCCTGCTGTGGCTTCGGCGGCGGTCCTGGCGCGGTTACCGTCTCTCTCTGACCATCTTGCGGTCATCGAGTGCGCAGGTCGTCATGGGCTTCACATCTGACAGTACATCGACGACGGGGTGGCGGCCTGGCCATCAGTGAGGGCCACCAGGACCATCCTGGACCAATCCATCCCCTCTGCCACGGTGAAGTACGCCAAGAAGCGGAAGGCCGCCTTCAATTTTGGACCTGGGAAAGCCGAGTGCATAGCGGTGCACGGCAGCACCGCGTTTGACTTGTCTGCCATGGGCTTCAATTTAGTTCAGGCTCACAAGATGCTAGGCATCCTTCTTGACGCGGAACTGTCCTTCATCCCCCTGCGAAGGCTAGCCTGGCCATGGGACGGTAATTGTTTGATGAACTTTACAAGGCAGCGGACGCGGGCGGTTTGCGAGCTCGTATCCTCGCCCAGGTGTCAATGCATGTTGTGCAGGCGTTGCTAGCAGGCGCTGCAGTGCTTGCTGTCGTTCCCAAAATTGACAGCGATCCCAACAGCCTGCAAGGATATTTTGCCAGGGCAACCTTGGGCTACAGACGCGGTCCTAGGCTGAACTGGGCCCTTTCGCGCCTCCAGAGCCAGTGGGGACTGAGACTTGCCACCCTCATGCTCCTGCAAGGGATCACCCGAGCAAGGCTCTAGGTCCTCCCCGAGGGACACCCGGCGGCGGTGCTGCGGGAGGCTGCGCGCGCGTCGCCGGCACCCTCCTGGTGGCGCGCGGCTGGCCAGATCAGGGCTGGCATGACGAACGGGCCCCATTCAGATGAAGGCGCGCATGAGGGTTTCAAAGAGGAGGTGGTTGCAGCCCAGTCCTCGCTGGTGCCCAGCACATCACTGTTATGACGCTACCGGCAGGAGGTGGAACGGCCAGACTTGCGAGCCTATGACCAGCCATCGGTGGATACGGCGGCCAGCCGGCCACACCAGCTACCGCTTCGCAGTCTCATGCCGGTGCCTCCGCAAAACATGCAGCGGGACATGCTTGAAGATCACGAAGGCGATCCGTACTAAAGGCTCTGGGCGATGTTCAGGGTGACTGGCCGCTGGCCGCTGCCAGTCCTGGGCGGGGACGACGCGCCGCTGGTCTTGCCCTGTTGCGGTGCATGTCCCAGCGCGTAGGTGGACGTCTCCCACATGCTGCTTACACCTTGGCGTCACGACGCCACCTGTGGGCATCCATCGACGGTGGGGCTCCAACGACGAGGCAGGCGGCGTTTCCGGCCCTCTTCGGCCCAGAAGCGACGGCTGGGTGCTGGTGCGCTGTGCTGGGCGGCGCTGGGCACCTGGCAGGGGTCGGCGGACGAACGACTCCGACATGCGCCCCTGTCAGGTGCGGTCCTCCTGCGTTCCCACAGCCGGGGCCGAACGAACGCCACAGACGACAAACCGAGAAACCAAGAAACCGAGGAGGTTACGCGTCCCCCCTCATCCCTCCTCCTCCTCTTCCTCCTCCTCCTCCTTTTCCTTTTCCTTTTCCTCCTCCTCCTCCTCCTTTTCCTTTTCGTTTTCCTCCTCCTCCTCCTCCTCTTCCTCCTCCTCCTCATCATCATCATCCCCTCTCCTCCTCCTCCTCCGCCCCCATCCTCCTCCTCCTCCTCCCCTCCTCCTCCTCCTCCTCCTCCTCCTCCTCCTCCTCCTCCTCTCCTCCTCCCCCTCCTCCTCCATCCTTCATCCTCCTCCTCCTCCTCCTCCTCCTCCTCCTCCTCTTCCTCCTCCTCTTCCTCCTCCCCTTTCCTCCTCCTTCCTCAAGCCATCCTGGCTTGGTGTGTGTGTGTCTGGGTCGCCACACCGATATCGCATCCTCGTCCCAGGTCTCCTGTGCCTGCCCGAGGCTCTTGGGGCAATACGGTCTTGAGTTCACCCTCGGGATCGTCGACCAAAGCGGGAAGTATCTCATGCCTCGATATGTTGCATCTCCCCGCTTCTGGAGTCGCTAACAGTCGTGCCAGAGGTGCGCATACAATGATGTGCTGGCAAAAAAAAAGGAAACACTTGTCTTTGCAGGGCCAGGGTGAAGGTGTTGGCTCCCAAGTAGCCAGAGAGGAAAAAGTCCGCGCAGGGTTTCATTATCAGAGTCGCTTGTTGTGTCCGATGATGAGGCTCCGCCGAGCCGCGGCGCCTCCCCCGCTCCAGGCAAGCGGGCGCCATGGGCCAAGCGGATCGAGGCCGAGAAGGTAGTCGACCACCTGCGTGAGGCCACGCAGGCGACCCAGGACGAGAAGCTCAAGAAGTTCCTGCAGTCGAAGGTTTCGTTGCTCCAGGAGGCGGCGGAGCCTGCGACGACCCCGTCGGCGGCGCTGGCCCTGCAGAAGGCGGACGCGGCGTACCGCGATGCCAACCACAAGCACGACCAGGCCATCGCCAACGCGCGGCGCCCGCAGACGGCGCTGGCCACCGCCGAGGCCAAGGGGGCCCAGGCAGTGCTGGTGCTTGCATCGGCGGAGTTGGCAAGGCGCGGCGCAGTGGGGGCCCTCGCGAGGGCCGAGGGAGTCGCTGTCGAGCTCAGCCCCGCGGATGCAAAGACGGCCAAGCTCTTCGAGGTGCGTTGGGACGAGGAGCTGTTCGCGGGCATCGGTAGTCTCGAATGTGAGGAAGGCGAGAAGTCGCAGCTCCAGAAGATCCACTCGGACTTGCTGGAGCTGCGGAAGGGCTTCACCAGTCGCGAGGCTGAAGTTCAGGGTCGGCTGCAGCGGGCGGCCCAAGTGCGGGGGGGCATCCGCGCGAGGCGCGCCCAGAAGCGGCGCACTGCGGCAGAGGCAGAGGAGATGCCTGTGCCTGAGGACCCGGAGGAGGAAGGCGCCCAACGCGCTGCTGCTGCCGCCGGCGGCGGGCCTGCAGCGGGCGCCCCCCCAGCGGCAGCCGCCGCCGCCGCCCCCGCCCAGGCGGCGGGCAAGCGCGCGGCGGCGGCGGTGGCTGACACGGCGAAGGCGAAGGTGAAGGCGCAGCAGGACAAGCCCACGCAGAGCGAGCCCGATGGCGCGCAGGCCTGACGGCGCGCACCTGGCGGCGAAATCGAGATGCAGGCAGCTCGTGGCCAGGCGCCAGTGTGGTCCCATTCCAGCGCTGTTGGCGAGGGCCAGCAGTCATCACAATCATTTATGTCTGTCGCTAGCGCCACGGTCTCGGGGGATCAGGCGTGGAAGTATCTCGCGCAACGCTGTTCTGAACGCGCCTATATGGGTCGCGTGGAGACCCATCTTTCCGAGCCCGCACGGCGCACATGGGATGGGCGAGCTCGCGAGCAGAAGTTGAACATGATTTTCAATTCAGCCAGGTCCACTGGACGTCACAGAACAGCGGACAAGGAGGAGCAGGCGAACGAGGTGGTGATATTATTCCTGCCAGGCCGCATCTACAGGTGGAGAGTCTGGTAGAGGCTGAGGTACCTGACTTTCGGGCTCCAGGAAGTCAGGCTCAGGGCGGTTTTGCAGCTGCCTCTATCCTCTGTACTGGTTTCTCATTTGTCTTGGTGATGCTGTACGGATCTTGCTCGATGGGAACGGCTGGACTGAATATTGCTCGGTTTCAGCGTGCGGGGCCCTGTTGGCCTCGCTACAGTTACCATGGCTGGCGATGGGCGGCTGGAATCTGTCATCACAGACGTAGCACGAGTCTGGTTGCCTTAGTCGTGTCCATGGTCGAGCACTTGTCCCGCCAGGCACTCGCACGTGCGATCAAGGCGGGGGCTCTTTGCTGGACTACTGTGTTATGAGCGAGGCGGCGTTGGCATTGTCTCTGGGTGTCACGCAGTGCTGTCCGTTCCGCGGAGGCCACATCTTGGGCTGGTCGTCGCGAGTCGCAGTTCTGGGAAACAACTTATCACTCGGGGGCTAGACGCCCCAGGCCGCCCCCGCAGGTGCAGAGACCCCGTGCGTTGCCACGAGAGGGGCCCAATACCTCACGAGCCAAGGTTGAGAAAGCTGCCCAGTCAGCTACTGCCAAGGAAAAGCGTCAAGGTTTCTTTGATCAGATGTTTGGTGAGCCAAAGGTGCTGTGGACGAGGGCGCCACGACTGCCCCCTCTTCAGACGATGAGGCCGTTGCATTTGGTTGTGAT